GCGTGCACGGCTCATTAAACAACAATGTGTGTGTGTGTGTGTGTGTGTGTGTGTGTGTGTGTGTGTGTGTGTCTTTATTAATGAGGGTTTCTCTCCCTGTCGTTCTCTGCAGGCAAACAACTGTAGCAGGAAAATCCACACACAGCACAGTAGAGTAAATACACAGTGTTAGCGCGAGCATTAAACAGCGAGGCTACGACATCATCGTACAGGTCAAAGTTCACCATTTTACCATCAGTGCTCCTTGTTGTCCTCCACAGTGAGGAGACATTAGACGGTGGACTAACAGAGACAGAGAAACAACTGAACCAGAGTTTTTCACCATGTTTTACCCCCAAATTCCACCGGGACACGAGCGCGCCGCGAGAATACGCAGCCGGTCAAACAGCACCGAGCAGGAAGTCTGTTATCTGTTCAGTTTTCAAAATAAACCGCGTGCAGACGTCACGCTACATCGTGGTCACAGCACGGTTCTTTTACTTTTAAATCTCACACTGGAGACGGCGGCGGATGGAAGACGGTCAAAGACGCAATCTGATGACGACGGTGTCCCAGTTTTACACACACACACACACACACACACCTCGCAGCGTTTCTCTGCACTGGACGACAACCACAGTGTGTCGTCGGCGTGTTGGGCGGCGAAGGGGCTGATTGGAAATCATGCAGGAAGCTCTACGACGAAGGACTGAATGGTTGCATCTCACTGTGATCACACACACAGAGACCGAACACAAACTGAACACTCCTGTCTTTAATAACGAGGAGTTCCTCAGGGAAGCGTCCTGGAGCCTCTGTTCTTTCTATTTAACTGTATATAGATTCAAAGAAACACTAACAAATCCTACTGCTCTTTAAAGTCAAACAGTCAACAATTCTTTGCTAATTAATCAGTAAAACAGTTATTTCCAAACAGAAGAAACTTAAGTTTTACATGTTTGACGCCGTACGATGAACTGATACTCGCAGAACTGAAGCTTTGATGGTGACGTTATGGGTTTTATATATTTACAGATAAATTAAAAACAAATGTGGCCGAAGTTCAGAGTTACAAACAAAATCTGTTTCCAGCTTCTCAAATGTGAATATTTTGCACGTTTATTTCATCTTCTATTATAATAAATCAAATATAAAAAACACAACACAACCAAAAGGACTTAACTGTGTACATTGGACTAAAACTTCCTATTATCAATGTACGTTAATAAGTAACATTCATTGATCCTGAACTGTCAGTTAAAGAGGATCTCAGTCATACATCTCAAATGAGTTCTTGATTAATTAAGGTAACTAGTACTGTAGTATCACACAGTACATCAGTTGAAATATGATAGACAGTCGCTCCGTTTCTCTAGTTCTGGATGTTATCAAGTCTGAGTAACGCTAATATCTCCACCCATACAAGGAACAGTCAGGCCAACGACCCATAAAGCCACTGCAGTAAAGGCGGCGTCGGATGGCCGAACACACAAACAGATCGCCACATTCTTCGTATACAGGAGGATTAGAAAACTCGACACACAGAACACCCAAAAAAAAAAAAACACTGCAGATTTTATTGACTTGTCCTAAACCCGAGTGTTAGTACCCAGACTGCAACATCTTCCAAGCACATCAGCCAAATCGACCCGATTATTTAAAAAAGCTTAAACTCACCATTGAACACACCTGGCACCTCTTCTGACACTAATTTCAGACTACAAAGTACAAGTAATAGGCACAGTTAGCTGCTAGCAGTAAGGTGCTTCCTCACTGCTCTCTGGACAGTAACGGCCTGTTGGCCCATGTTGAATACCAATGTGTGGGGACTGTATGTGGGTGATCTGCCATTATTGTCTTTCAGGGATAATTTCGGGGAGGTAAAGCTCCTCCTAGCATCTTAAAAAAAAGCTACGTCTATGCTTGAGCACAAAATGTTTAAGTTTGTTTGATTTAAACATGATTTCTGTGAGTCAGAAAAACAGAAAAAAGGAACCAATGACTCACCTCCATTTTCTTTCTCAGTCGAATCTGTTGAGGCGACGTCGCTGCTCGAGTCAGAGTTCACCTGAAAACAAACATTTAGTCACCGACCGATACAGAGTCACATGGTGTCTCTCTCCCTCTGTCTGTGTTGTATCGCAGCCTCTCTGTGGTTTGTTTCCATAGCCGGTCTGCTCCGACTGAAACTGCT